TATATAGTCACTCTCAAAATTTAATTAGTTTTGGTTATGATTAAAGTAAACTGGTAAGATGTTCTTATGGGAACAGAACCACTCCTTCTTTGAATTAGCTTGGCCCGAAGTTATAAAAAGAAATAATACATTTTCTCCCTCCGCTTTATTAAATAATTGTATTATTATATATAATGCAATATTAAGAGATCTGTTTTTTTCGCCAATTTATAAAATCCCGCTGGCAATTAACTTTTAATGCCGCTGCGCACTCCCAGACCTTTTTTTGCCACCTGATTTCTACCAATGGTGTTAACCACACTTCATTTTGGTTTACTAGAAAAGGGATTCCGACCGGGTATGTACCTGTTCCTTTCGACATCTGTTATTATCTAGGCCGGTGGCCTTATCTGCTAATGTCGTGGATCTATAATGTGAGTGCAATTAAGTTTTGTTATTGACAATTCATTTTTTACGTTTAATTACAGAAATATCTCTATATTGTATCTTGGTAGTTTTAGTATAAACCAAACAATGGACTATTGGATTTGGTTTCAGGTTCCAAGGTCAGATTTTTTTATTTATAATTTTTTGTGTCGATGAACTCACCAATCAGTTTTAACTCCGATTAAAACTGATTGGTGTCGATTTGGTTTTGCAGTTTAGCTGTATTCAGTGTTTCTTGTTTTCTTTTTTCAGAATGTCATCTAATTATTATATATGGTTTATGTGTCTGTCTTTAATCTGTACTTTTCTATTAATTTATATCCTTACCCACCCCTAAACTGAAGCTCCCAAACTGAGCAACGCGGTCTTTAAGTCTTGGTGAACGATCAGCTGTTTATCATCTACTTTTGTTAGCTTTTTCTTTACAATGTTACACTAGTTACATTATAATAGTGACAAAAAATGAAGGTAACGCTCCAAATTCTAATTAAATAGTTTGTAGAAACGATAAACTGTGAATTATTTGTTTAAAAAAACTAGAACGTAAGTGAGGAAGAAGAAGTACGAGAACAGATGAATAAAGTCAACAAAGCACAGGGATGTCTAAAAGAAACTATGGGCTACATCTGGGATATATAAAACTACAATAAGGACCATAATGACATTTTGCGGAAGCAAGAATAACAGAAATAAAACTCGTAAGAAAAATAATCAAAATTGGAAGGCAATAACAATCAATAATCATATGTGAGATAGAAGATTATATAGCAATGGACCAAAAACGAGAAGATAGAACGAAATGAACATATAAAAAGGAGGTCAAAAAAACAAATATCTGATAAAAGCAGGTGACCAGTTACCAAGTAGACAATGGGTTAATTGGACAATAGGACGCGAAATGTGTCATAGTTTGGCGGGAACACAAACTTTGAGACATAAAGTACCAGAGATTCGTGTGTTCTAAATAACTAATACACCGTTCTCGATAAAGATAATTACAGAAATTTGTTTTTGGAAGATTGAAAGTATTTTAACCACAAGTTACTTTTAGTTTTTTTACGATAGTTCTCAGTTTAATAGAATCTTACAATAGAAATATGAATTCCCTTCAAGAGAACTTTGTTTGGTCTTAAACTCTTTGTTAAACTCATATTTACTGATTTGATCAATTTACTTAGTTTCATGTAGTATTATAATTTATTTATTCATTTTTCATCGACAAACAAACCTTTTTCATTTAAATTTAAGCTAACTTTCTGCTAGACATCCATCAAAAATTTGCCAAAAAACGGAATAAAAATTTACACTATCGCTACTACAAATCATTCAAACCGTCCCAAGTTTTCACTTAAGGTGTCCTCCAAATCCCATTTCCTCGAGGATACTGTTGGCCTGGAAAGTTTCCTATTTGACATTGACCTACTTGGCAACGCTGCAAAGTTCATGCCACGTGCTTCGAGTTGAAACGTAACAAAGGACCCGAACGGAAGGAGGATAATCGAGCGAATCCTTTGTCCTTGTTGACTTTCTGCTATTTCCCTGAAGTCCTATGCAGGGATGCATTTTACACCATACATTTTTCTACCTTTAAAGAGAACAATAATCAAACGGAAAGCATTTTCTGCTGAGTAATCGGTAATTGGTCGGATAATATTGCTGCTCGGGATATGTTACACATCTTGTACCATGTTACGTATAGTGTCACATCCAGAGTAGCAAGGCTCGTTGGAACACTGAGTTCAGTTGTGGATCTTTGTGGTAGCGTTAAACGTTAGACATAATCAGATAGGAATTGAACAACTGACCTAGTCTTTTTTATCTTCCATGTTGTAATTTAATCACTTATTTTAATTTCGTATGCCTGGTACGTTGAGTGGTTGTATGGTATTGTTATTGGCTTATGGGTTGAAATTTTTATGTTTCGGATGTGTATTTATTTTTAGTTTAAGTTTTTTTATTTCTAAGTATGCGAAACCTGGACTGTTATCTATTACTATAGTTTATTTTTATGAACGAGAGAGTAATTAGCATAATTTTAACTGGTACCTCCGACCACTCCATGGGCGTGCTCAAGACTAATTGAAAAATTACTTTGAATAATTGTAAAAAATAAATGAATTATTTCAGTGTTATAAAGTGTTATGAATATGTAAACAAAAGTGACCTCTTTTATCACACACTATATTAGAACTGACTGGCCTACATTAAAAAGGGTTTTAAAAAATTCACATTTTTTTTAATTTTTAAAAATTACAAAAGAGAAAAAGAGTTTTTAAAACCGTCTAAGGTATGTTAAATAGATGAATAAAAATATTAATATAAAACTTACAGCTACTTGTTACAAATCCAAATCAGATTCAGAAGATGAACTTTCAGAACCAAGATTTATAATAACTGGCTCGATCATTTTATCAGTAATATTGTCCAGCTTCCACATTTTTTCCTCTTCTTTAATAGTGTGATTTACTGCCTTTTCCCAGTTTTCAGGTTTTACATTATTTACGGCCTCCAAAAACAACTGTTTAACATCATGAATTTTAAAAGTGGTATTTTTTCTTGAAACTTCACTCTTTATCTGTGCCCATACCAGTTCAATCGGGTTTAATTCACAATGATATGGTGGCGATCTAAGTACTGTCATTCCACAATTTTTGGCAATTTCATCAATTTCGTATTTTTTAAATTTTTCTTTATGAAGGACACACAACGAATAAAGTTCCTTTCTTATAGATCCGGGATGATACGTAATATTTTTTGAACTCAGCCAATTCTGCAAGTCTTTTTTTAACCACTTGGTTGTGGGCAGTCCTTCTACAAGTCTGGAGTGATAACTTGCATTATCCATTACTATTACACAGTTCTTAGGAAGAAGATCTATCATTTGTTCGAACCATTCTTGAAAGACATCAGCGTTCATGTCTTCATGGTAGTCACCGGTACGAGTTGATTCAAAAGTTAATAAACCACCTTCAACAAAACCGTCTGAACTGCCAATGTGTACTATTATCAGCCTGCGTCCCTTTCCTGATGGTGGGTTTAAACCAGTAGATAAGTTATTTACAAAAGCGTACCTTTGACTTGTAACAGTTTCATTCTGCCAAAATTTATTTGGTGTATGACCCTCGTTGATCCATGTTTCATCAAGATAAAATATTTTTCTTTTTTGGTTTCTCATTTCCTTTATGGTTCTTAGAAAATGTCTTCTCCATATGACAATATCGCTTCTTTCTAATAAAATAGACTTTCTGGGATTCTTTTTCCAGTGGAAGCCTATTTCTTTTAAAAGTTTCCATAACGTACTTCGACTCATTTCTGGGTAATCCTTATCATCTCGAACTGAGACAAGAACTTTATCCAATGTTGGAAATTCTTGTCTAAAGAAGAATTCATGCATTTTCCGTCGAAGTCCTTCTTTAAAATGATATTCTATTTGAAATTTTGGTTTCCCTGGAGCATTACGTAGCATTTGAAAACTACCACATTTCTCTTCTTTAATAACTCTGTAAATCGTAGATTTCCCAACACCAAGTGTACTGCTAACTAACTCAACGGTCCCATTAACATAAACGTTTGTCTGTAAATGATTTAAAACAATTAAATTTTAAAAATTTTTTTTCAAGGACCAATTTTTCGGCGTTTACACGGCACTTCCAAATTTTCCATAACACTAGTATACACAATAAACTGCACCTTTCAACTGAAGTGCCTACTTTTAGTGAACTGTTAAGAATTTTGAATACGCCACTTGGACCTTCATACAAACTGTCACATTTTCTGTGGAATAAGTTTAGAAGGTAATTATCTAGTCAATTACTGTCGTAGATTCCTGGAATTAAAGAATTAAATGTTTGATTGTTGAAACCCTTACTTAGTGGAATGCACTAATTTCAGATAAAATAAAACGTTTTATTTTATCTAAAGAATTAAACTTTATTTTGCAAATAGGTAGGTACTTATTAAACTTTTATTGGTTATATATAACCAATAAAATAAACATCTTACATTTCTTGCAAATTCATTAGTACCTGTTAACCTCCATCACTCCGACACTGGCAACCTTATTTAGGGATTAGTAACCCTCACAACTATTGTATTCTATTCTGCTCCAACCTTTATACCTGGTGGTCATACTCAATTTAAAATTGTTTTCCTATATACTTCTGTAAACTTGTTGACAAATATCTGTTTTTCATTGAGTCACCCGTATCAACAGTTTAGGGATTTGCATACATAATTTATTGTTTTATTACTCTCTCATACATAAAAATACACTATAGTAATTTCATCATGGAATTAATATTACTGAAGTTCATTATCTTTATAACAGGATAAACTTATTTAGATATTTTAAACCAACCAAACCTTTCCTATTCTCTGTAAAAGAATACGAAGACATTCCGTAAACTAATGAGAACTACTAACTGTAACTTTTAAGCCATAGTTAATTATCATCTCCTTTAGAAGGCTTTGGACGATTTTCGTGATTACAATGCTTCGTCTTTGGTACGTTAAAGACAATAATTTTATTTACGTTGTTTAGGTAATATAACATTAACACTTTCTCTTTATTTCAGAATTTGACACGCATTGTGTTCCAATGCACTTGGCCAAGCTGCTTAAAAATGACCAATACCTGTGATGCAATCGAAGCGCATATTCGCAATGAGCATTTGAAGTAAGTCAATATTTATTTTTCTTTTATCTTCATAATCATGTTGATTTAATCAAACTGATTTAGATTACAATCAAACCAAACTTTTTTGGCATTATAATTTTTCGGCATATAACCAGAAATAAAGTGCTTTATATACAGGATTTTACATAAAAGAATTAAAATGCGCTCTCCAGGCTGGGCAAGTCGTCATTTTATAAAACCTTACAAAGTAGAGCGCGGATGAATTAGTTAGATACCCAAAGGAACTCCACAAAGAAAAATATTGCTATATTCGAATTGGTGTAAGAACGAAACGTAACAACCGATCGTGGATGTCTAGTTATTTGGATTGAGCACTAGGTACATTATGATTGTGTGTCTAGTTCTTTGGATTGGGTAGTCAAGGTCTAGTTTACCGGTTTTGGTACGAATATTCCAAAGAACACTCATATAGTATTTTGATTTTATGTAAATGTGCTGGATAACATGCATGTCCAAACTTAATCCTGCTGATGGTAGTTCAACTCAGATTTTCAAACCGTATTAAAAAATTAATATTATTCAGGTAGTGCTAAAGTTAATCTTCCAGTTGAAATGGTCTGATTTTCACTTCTGACGTTGAAATTTCCTGTAGAAAACTAATAAAACTAATATTAATTTAGTGACATAAGGTTTAATGCTCGAATAAATGAATTTTAATAAAATAAAGGCAAATATCGAGCACAGTTTTTATTAAATCTTGCCCAAGTACTTTCGCTCATAGAACATCTTCAGGGGCATTTGGTCAAAATTAGGGTATCCAACAATATGGTGAATGTCATAAACATTAACTGATACATTTACACAGCACGAGATAAAGGACAAACAGTTTAAAAATTAATATAAATAGAATGCATTCTATATAGGTAGCCCAGACAGTTATCTTAGCAATATTTACCGTGCTAGTCAAAACTCCCCTCCCATCTTTTGAACAGTTATACTTATAATAGTGAAATTTCGAGGGAGGAAATAATCGGACGTAGGCTATTGTTCTTAAAGGGTCATAACAGGTGATTACCTTATAGAAGGTAATATAATACCTATTCAATCATACCTTACTTGTTTGGGTTTAAGCTGATTTTGATGAATAACTATTAAAATTGTATTTTCGCATTTAATTAATGAAGATTTAAGAACCTGTTCTTATATTAACTATTCAAAATGTGTTCCATTTTTAACTGGAGCACATGTTATCTGTCGAGGGAAATTACCCTACAGTGTTCAACAATTCGTTGTTTCTTAATGTTAATACTCTCGGCTGCTGTAGCGTAAAGCTTAGATTTCAAGTACCCCACAGAAAAAATCTCTAGAGTGTGAGGTCCGGTGACCGAACTGGCCATTCTATCGAACCTCATCGTCCAATCAATCTACCACGATACTTATCATCTAGACAACGTTTTACGGTACCATAATAGTGTACAGAAGCACTATATTCTTGAAATGTTTTTTTTAAGTTGCCGAACTCATTTGGTTATCTTCCAGAATTTTAAGAATTAACGGCTCAATTACGTTTTGTAACATCTCCAGATACACTTCACCAGCAAGTTAGCATTGAGAGAACAGGCTCAACTAATGGTCCTTCCCAAACATTTACTGTTTCTGCAAATTTAGTACGTTGTTCACTAAAGAGGTGAGGATTTGTGTCATTCCATTAGCTCACATTGTGTATGTTAACATTTCCATTGAGGGAAAAGTACTTTCGTCACTAAAACAAATTGCTTTTATGTAATCTGGCTGTTGGTTAATTTGACTGAACATATTTTTATATTTATTTATTTATCGTATGGCACTTGACACATTTACATTTAAATTTACATATATTTTGTATAAAACATGACACATATGTTTACAAATGAACATTAACATATTTATATATTCTATCGACTCTGGAGTCGCCATTAGGAAATCCTCTGACCTGCCTTGATAGGATCTGGTGGGACACTGTTCTGTAATGTGACAGATGGTTTGTGGTTGTCTGTAGTCACAGAGTGGAGATGGTCGTTTACGCCATTTGTGCACTATATAACCGCATCTGCTGCTGCGTTCTGCACATACGATGACCTCAATATAACAATTGAGATCATCCTGAAGGGGAGAGAAGATATTCTGGTCAATCCAGAACTCGCTGGTTTTCCCCTTTCGAATTGGGTATATATATTCAACTAAAGAAAAGAAATCAAAACCAGTGGACTGTATAAAACTCTATTTCAAAAAGGTGTAAAATTAAACATAAATAGACATAATATAATATACCATTATAATTAAAGAAGAATATACAAACTTAACTATTAGTTACTATGAAACACACCAACAGACACACCGAAAGACAACCATAAATCAACCAAAACAAAAAGATGTCGATTCTATTAAAAACCATCGACAAAACAAAAGACAAAACCTACCACAGCCGCAAATATACTACAAATAAAAGATACAAAAACAAATTAATCATATTACAAAAAAAATACATAAAAATATGGATTTATATGTCATTGGTATAAAAAAAAGTAATAATGCGGTAGCATACAAATAATTAATAGAATTATTAATAAAAAGCACACAAGATATAAAATCGGTGTTAACAAAGTCCAAAAAATATACATACAGTAAATAAACCACGAAACAAATTTAAAATGTCCAATTGACAATGTTCAATTGCGATCGCGGCACAAATTCAATAATGTTCCAAAAAAGTATCAAATAAATATACCAAGTGCGCGTACTTGATATATGCAGCAAATCGTATATAAATGGTGTATTGTTCCTTACCCCATGAAAAAGATAGCCCCAACGCTATCGCAAATTACGCCTTCAGCGGCCGACTTCCACTACACAAGTTTTTATGCACATTTTCGTCTTTTTTGGTCAAAAGACCGATAAGGAGTCAGGTACTCTTCGTCTTTACATACACATCTGCATCGGTTGAGAGATGCATTTCGACTCTGGTTTTCTAACAAACGCAAACCCTTATTTTAACTTTAAAAACACATGTGGCATGTGGAAATCGTCCCTTGTTATCTCGCAGATGGTCGTCTTGGAATGTTTAGCCTTTATCGCTTTTTGGCCCTTAAACACCGCTGTGCAATTGTATATGCAAAATCTCAGTGTAAATATACGGGGAGAATCGAAACTATCAAAAAGTCTGTTAATATATTTACAAATGTTTATTTGCAGTTGCGAAACTGCAACATCTGCCATGTTTGGTTCTGATTCGGTTCAACGTAGTCCATGTGTTGTATGGTAAGTCAAAACCTGGTGGTTTTTGTGTGATGCAGGTAAGCTGCTATTTTGTTGTTCCATCCATTCTCGAGTCCAAGTGGTCGTTAAGTTGAACTCATTTTCCACTGCAATCTGTGCTGGTTTTATTGGCGGTCGTCTGGAGCGTAAACGGTTACCATTGGCAGCATCTATATCTTGATGAATTGGCAAAGCCTAGTTGCTAAGTATCTTTTGGTACTCACTAGTGAGGCAGTGTATACGCCGTAGTCTGGGTGGTGGAATGTGGTTCAGGGCTGGGAGCCATTGCGTAGGGGTGGATTTGATAACACCAGCAATCATATTTTCACAGAATTCTGGTCCTCGGTCGATATTATTATCTGAAAGTTGGTGCACGTTTTTTAATTTGTATGGATACCTGGTCTTATCAATACCCCGTCATTATAAGCGCGACCAGCTCTGAAACCGTTTTGATCTTCTGATTCTTTAACTTGTTTTACAATTCGGTGTTTTAGTTCTATTCCATAAAGCCTTGCTACCGATCATATTACACTAATTCCTCTGTAACTTTTGCAGTCCTCTCCTGCTATTTTCCTTATACGTGAAAGGTATGATGGCTATATTTCATTCTTTGGGAGACTTGTTAAAAATATCCGCAAGGATCTCCATTAATTTATCGTCACCTTGTTATAGTAGTTCGTTACTTATATTTCCTGGACCTGGGGCTCTCCTATTCTTTAGCTTCATCACACTTTATCGTATTTCTATTGCACTTAGCATGGTTTTTTGTTGAGCATTTCCTTCGTAGATTTCTTCTGAAATTTCTTCCTAAAATTAAAGTCTATCTTCTGTTAAAAGCTTATGTCCACTCGCGGATACTAATAAGATATAGTCCTGCAGCGTCTTTATTTTGTGTTCTTAGTCCTCTAATAATTTTCCAGGGTCTATTTGCTCTCCGGCACACTTATTTACTTCTTCGCGGGTTCTTTCCAATAATTATTTTTAGCATTTCTTTATTTCACTTTAACTAATCTTTGCTCCTTATTTCTATCCTCAGAAATTGCAGTAGCTATCCATTTGTCCAAAACCACAGCAAAGCAACAATAATGTACTTACGTAATCTATCTAAATAAACAATATTTGGCAGATAGCATGAATCTGGACTTCATTAATAAACCGCCAAATGTTTAGTAGGTAGCTTCGTTTTTGTATCTCATCATGAGAGATGTGTACACACACACACACATAGAGTTATATTTAAAATTATGTAGACTGGGACACGTGTGATGACGTTTAAATTAAATACTATTAGGTCGGACGAAAATAAATTGAGATTTTTATATCGTTAGTATTCGTATATAGATTGGAATCCCGAATAAACGTGTTGTAGAACGGTGATAATGTTACTACGCGGTTAGATTTATGATAGAGAAACTATTGGATAAATAAAGTAAAATAAAGTATGCTGCGGTGTGATTTATTATAACTGTTGTGTTTAAACTTTCCATAATGTAACAACAGCCAACCTGAATTTAGCGTAACATCAGAACGCTGAATTATGTCATAGAAACATTAGTTTCCGGAAGTGTGCCTTAAGAAGAATCTTTCATGTGAATAATCACAGATTCAGCTAACCACTTAAATTTCAGATTCTTGGAATATACAACAAAAATGTGGTTTAGTAAGAAACACAAAAATTCCGACTGACTCAGGAATATTGGCTTGTATCTAGTTTGTCAAGATAAATGTAGTATGCGATAACAAGG